ATAATAATTGGAACTGTTGGAGAGGTTTCCATATACACTGCCTCTGTTTTAGATTCATTACTACATTTCTGTACTAAATTTAGATCTCGAGTAGATTCTGTTTCAGTTTTCTTGTTCACTTTCATGCTAATATCGTCTTCTTTAAGAAGTTCTAAAGCTTGTATTGTTGTAAAGTCCATTGGGATTGGTTCCAGTTTAATTAGCTCATTCTCTTCTTGAGTAGATACTCTACTTGCGTTGTCAGCTTGTGTTTTGATAATGCTAGGATGCTCCAACAAGATTTTCTCCTCTTCTGTTAGGGGTTGATTTCTAATTTCCTTGTGTTGGGCATAGTCATGCAGTTGTATAACTTTGTGTATAATTGCAACTAGATATGTCTCACTAGTTCCCAAATAACTTGCAACTTTTTTATCTTCTTCCCAAATAAAAGCACTTTGCTTCTTTTGAATTGCGAGTCTTTCCTCTTGTGTTTTGTTAAAAAAATTCTTATAATCAATAAGTTCTAGCATTTTACGTGTATTGTTTGTTTGGTTGTATGTATGTTGTTACGCGTTTGTTTATTTGTTTTGTTGATTTAATTTCTCACACCTGATCCAATTTACGTGTCCTTATTTAGTTATTTGTTTATTTCCCAAATAGGTTTGTTTGTTTGTTGTGATACGATCTGCAAAACAAGGTAATAGCAAATCCCCACTTTTCGTTTTTCGAACAGAAAAATAAATTTTTAAAGAAAATTAGGAGTTTTCCTTGCGTATACAAAGACCGATGCAGTTTAGAGCAAAACCGTTTTATTAAACTATATGTGTTTTCTCTTGCTTGATCTTTTGTCTTAGAGTTGTTTTAGAAGTTTTCTTAGTATTTTAAAGCCTAAGTTGCCACTTTTCTTTAGCTCCAATTTTGGTCGAGGTGATCACCGGAAAGAGTTTTTTATTTTTGCTATATTAGAATTTAGTTAATGGCTATTACCCCATCAATTAACTTCCAGCTAGCATACGACCCACCTTTTCTCTATATATAGTTTTCTGTATTGTTATTAGTACTTTGTCTTCCTATCCACTTTCTGCAACAACTTTCTTTTTCTTCTAGTTTGGTTTATTCTGGTAGTTTTTTACTCTTGTTACTTCCAAATTGGTATATATGGCCTTATATTTGATTTAGTACTACTTTGATTTGAATATATGTTGTGCTGCTGCTATCATGTTCATATCTCAAACCAACCTTTGGAGTGCTGCTATAACATGATTTGTATCTTAAGCTACAACCTTCCCAAACAGGTATAGCCAGATTTATTAAAATTCTAATTGTTACTCTACAGTATATTACTTGCCTTATATAGTGCTACTAAAGTTGGTATTATCTGTAGTATAAGCGCCAAAGGCTTTTTAGTATATCTGTTTTTACATGTGGGTATACTACTGACAATCGTTTTTACTTCTAGCTTGGTATTGCAAGAAGGCCTAAAATCTTGACTAATAACGCACTAGTATAGTACTTATTACTAAAGTTAGTAATATATAATGCAATATCTAATGTTATATATAGATGCCAAAGGTCTACAGATCTTCACTATATTTACCACTTTACTTACTACTTCCAGTTTAGGTATTAGTATTACACTTCTAAACAAAATCCCAGTATCTTAGAGTTGTTGGTATTATTTAGAAAATCTTTATCATATTCTTTGCTTTACTTACTACTCCCAGTTTGAAACATTAGTATTACTTTTACAATCAAGATCCCAGACTACCTGGGTTGTTGGTATTATCTAAATGCCTTGAAGATTTATATGTATAACCTATTTGCTTCAAACCTTCTATGACTGCTGCTTATTACATGTAGTGCCTACTCTTTATGGTTTTTGATTTCTAGAAACTTACATGCATAACCTAATTCCCAAACCTTCTATAGCTGCTACTCATCATACATAGTGCTAACTCTCTATAGTTTGATCTTCTTCTGGGAATTTTCTATCAAATCTATATTATACTTAGACTTCTATGAGGCTCCATGTTTGATTTGGCTCTTTACTTGTAGATTATAGAGTTTTTTCTGCCTCCAGCCTGATTCAAACCATAGACCGTGACTTAACTTCCATAAGAGTTTAGCAACTTAACAACTAAACTATAGGGCCCAAACTCTAAATGAAATATACAATATTCTACTTTATAATCTATCTTTAACAAATTGCCAGCACATAAAATTTATAGTTGCAGTGCTATAAAAAGTCTATAACTTCAAGGCTCTACCAGAATTATACTTCTACAAACTATTTATAGAGCTACCGTATGACCTTTTACAACTCGATTTCTTACTATTTGAACTTTTTCTAATAACAAAATACTTAGCACTACCTTTTTTAGAAGAATATAAAAAAAAATTAAAAATACTTTATATTGTAGAAAGCATTTCAGATAGCTACTTCAAACTTCTTTTCCTGAAACTAGCACTATTATCATCTCCTTAACAACTTCTACACAACCTCTATTAGTATTTTCCATACAAATCAAAAAATGCCAAGAAATTAAAGAAGTTCTCTAACTTGCTAAAACTTCACTATGGTTTTTATCAGCTACCTAGCAACTATATTATACAAAAACCTTGATTACTAGCTAACCCAAAGTTAGTCAAAACAAAAATTAACTATATATTCTTTATTAACAACAAGGTAGTTACAAAAAACTTTATAGCAGAAATAAAAGACCAATACCAATTTACACTATTACTTTCTTTTGAGTATATAATAGTTAACCTTATACAAAAACTAGAGCTTTTAATTAGTACTTCGATTCTTAATCTAACTTTTCAAATTGACCTCTAAATCCAGATAGATTTAGATATCTAATCAGAGATTCTTGTTTGAATTGATCAAAGGACTTGGATAATAAATCTAAGAATGTGCTACTAAACTAGCTTTATATGTAATCTAATATGGATTCAATCTGGATTTAATAGAATCTGGATTGCTTGTCAAAAATAGGATCGAAGCACTACTTTTAATAGATACCAACCTTATCTCTGAAATAAATATCACAATTCTAATTATATTATCAAACAGTTAGTTGATATTTTACAAGAACTAAAAAACTATTATTACTTTTTCAAAATTTCTTCAGACTGGATCAAAATTCAAAATACAAATAAACCAAACCAAAAACTAATACTTCTACTCAACATAGATAAACTTATCTCTTATTTGAATAATATTGACATACAACTAGCTCAACTTGTATCTATTACAAACTACTTTTTTGTTTTGAAAACACTAAATAAAATCAAAACACACTTTTCTATCAACATACTACCTGAATACCTATTCAATCTACTAAATCTACTAGATTCAGACTGGAAAATCTTTGACAACTACACTTCTAATAACCTATATGCTAACACTATACAAGCTATAAACCAAATAAAACTAACCAAATAGCTTATCTTATTTATCTAAAACTAATAAGTAATAGCAATACAAATTTGAACTTTCTATCTTCAACAACTAATAACAATCCAAGTTTACAAAATCAACAATTAGATATAACTAACTATATTAATATAGTCACTTACAATATTTAAGAACTAAACAACAACTTTAAATTTTGGCTTTTTTTAAAATTTTGTATTCAAAATAACTACTATATAATTTCAATTACTAAAACTAAACTAAAAAACCAAAACCCCATAGCTCTGTTTACAAAATATATATAGCTAACTACTTACTATTATAGTATATATTTTAAGAAGCAAGCCTTGGAATAGCTATAAATTACACCTTAACTATAGCTATACATCTACAATATTTTTATATACTCTAATACAGTACTATGCATAGATTTCTATCTTCTAGCAAAAACCCAACTTCGAGTTATTTTCACATATCTGTTATCAAATAACCCTAGTTTACACAATACCACTTACAATATAATAAATATATAGCTATAAGAAGCAAGAAAGAAAAATGGCAAACTATAGTACTTGATAATTTTAATGATAATATCAACAGGATAACAAAACAAAACTTGATCTTCAACATACTTGATAGTACTTTAATAGCAAGTTTGTTTAACTTTCACTCAACCACCATATTCACATAGCATTATAGAAATCTATATAGTCAGATTGATAATATTTGAACAAACATTAAGATTGTTTTACAATTTGATACTCCACAACTACTTGATGCAAAAGGAGTATTAGACAGTGATTATATAATAATTACTACAACATGGCACATTAATCTTTAGATTCCTAAGAGATATACAAAGAAAAAACAAATAAAAATTTTTTTATACTAATATATAACAAAGAAAAATTGGCAAGAATTCTCTAAGTATGTAGAAAAAACAGTATTACAAAACTATTTTTAAATATCTATAAATGACCAAACTACTTTTAACAAATAATAAAATACTTTCACTAATATGATTTTAAAAATAGCAAATAAATATATACTAGTTACATATACTGCTTCTAAAACTTTTTATGCCTATACTTTACAAGCAACCAAACTTTATATTGCTTTAAAACACATTAATAGTACAATACATCTTTGCAAAAATACACTCTCACCTATCTTTATACTAGATTATCAACACTAAAATAGAGAAAGCCTTCTTATTACTTCTATAGCCAATCTTAGTTTTAGCTCCTAATCTAGCTACTACCACTATCATGCTTTAACAACTCAAAGAGTTAGCCAAAACAATCTGGCACACAAGAAAAATCAAAATAGCACAAGCCCAGAAAAACAGAATCTAATACTTTATTAATAGATAATATGAAAATTTTTAGAGCAATACTACATGTATAATTAATAGTATTTTATACTAATATACAGAAAAAATAAACTTTGACAAAGTAATTACTAACAATTAAATTTTAACTGAATTACAGGATATTAAACAAGCTACTCGTTTGTACCTACTTCTAAAATTGAATAAAATATAATCTATCTAATAATCAGTATATAGCAAAATAGGCAAAGTTTTATTAACCCCAAACATACCTCCTCTTGCAAATTTATAACACTCTAACAAAACCAATTAACTTACAAGAACTAAACTATACTTTAAACAATACACTATATACAAAGACCCTGGACCCACTAGTATTACAAATAAATGCTACAAAAACTAAACACTAATAGCAAAATAGCTCTATTTCAGATCTTTAACTCATATTTTAA